CTCTTGCCATTTCCCGAGCCAAAGCTTCGATGGCTTGTTAACCCGCAAGTTCAGCCACATTCACCTAGCCAATTTTCTCCTCTCGTACCAAAATTTCATCCTAAATTGGCACTTCCTGACGTCTAGGCCTACCATGCCTACCAACACCACATCTACATCCTGACATCCTAATGGAGGTAACACGAATAATTTAGCACATTAACAAATGTGCCATAACTAATTCACATGCATCCTAATACAGTGGACAACACAAAACTCATTCCACGTAAGCATCGAGTCACGTATTCACAAAAAGATTTCTTTCCCAAATAATAATTGTTCCGCGACATTGCCAGAGTTCCTATTAGAATTAGCAGTGATCAAATGCTCTTTTAACGGGACTTCTAGAAACCCGTAGACACAATTAACATCTTAGAAACTAAATCCATATCACAAAAACATGTTATCAAATTTACTACTTAGCGAGACGAACCCTTATGGTAATAATCACGTCCCACAAATCCAAAGTATTCAAAATCGGTACACTCTGATACCAAGTTGTAACGCCTCGAAAATAAAGACAACAGATACCCTCATCATACTCAACAGATATACAGAAGTTTACTAATAATAAATCTCTCAATCATTTAATAACTAAAGCATTCCCAGAACGATCTTTCATTCATTGATTCCTTTGAGATATTACAGAAGATATCACATGCATTAATACATTCATTAACCCTAGGTTATGAATCTATAGCATGGGACAAATATATATAAAAACAAAAAGAAATAAAAATGAGTTCATGTCCTAATGGCTACATATTTCCAAGACGATACTTGGTTACAACAAAAGTAGGTCAAGCCCAAGACAAACAAAAGCATTATGCTTATACAAAAGATATTTACAAAACAAAATAAACGAACGTTTAGTTCCACAATCCTCCCAAGATAATTCCTTGGTGGAGGCATATCACCAGCACTTGAAAGTTAGTTTCCATATAGGGTGAGCTAACGCCTAGTAGAGATAAATTTAATGTTCTGTATGATGCTTAACAAAGTCATATGCTGAATACATATGAATGTCATTTACCAAAACAATGACATTTTCTCTTTCAAACAATGCAATCCCATGTTTATGATTCAAATCAAAAAACGTTACTTGCAAAAACAGAAAATAGGGCAATGGATACACATATTGGGAAATCACCACATAACCCCATGTGGTTTCTGGACCAAAGCATAGCGTCAGTTTTTCCATTTAAATTAACGGAATGTGAGGCTCACGGAGAGTAAGTTAATTTTTAAGACTAAATTACCCCTCATTCACCTTCAAATTTACAAAATATACCATTCTTCTTCTTTCTTTCTTTACTATTTCTCTCTATGATGGGTTGAAGATGAGAGTTTGGAAGCTTGTAATTTAGGAAAATTTGAGTGTTTGGGGAGAAAATGGATATAATGAAAAAGAAGAATCTAATACTCCCTTACCCTGAAAATCAATTACATATATATATATATATATATATATATGTACATACAAATAGAGAGATAATGACACAAAAGAAGATGGAGGTTAAGGGGAAGAGAAGATCAATTACAAGATGTTTAGGTGCTTGAAGTTCAAGATCAAGGAGGCCAAGCGAATGCTGAATATAATGAAGTCGTTCGATATATGTACATGCATGTACATATGATCAAGAAAATTATATGTATGTATGTTAGGGTTGGCCATAGAGTTATCCGATTCGCCCAAACTGCCTTACCCGATCCAACCCGCACGCGTATGGGCAGTTTCGCAAATATATTAGGGTTGGGTGTGGTTTGAATTTTGATAGATTTTTGGGTTGCGGATGGGTTGCGGTTTAAACCGCACCCGCCCAACCTGCCCGCATTAACTTCTTCTTCTTTTTTTTTTTTTTTTTAATGCCAGTTTCCCTAGTAATTTTATTGCTGACCCTTTTCTTTATGCTCAGGTACATTTCATTTTCATTTTTTTTTCTTTCTCTTCCTTTTCTTTAATTTATTCATTTGTTATTTCGTTCCAATCGGTGTAGATGTATTCATAATTTACATATATTATATATGTGTATTTGATTTCTATGAATTGAAGATTGCATGTAATTAAAGTTAGTGTTCATCTTCAATGGGAAATAAACAGTACCATTAATAAGGAGCTGGAGGAGCTGGTGGTAATGTTGATTTTTTTTTTTTTTTTTTTGAATAATAAGTTTTGATCTTACTGTGTTAGGAATTGATTTTGTTGTGTTTTTAATTTTATAAGTTTTAATTCATTAATTAATATGTTGGAGAATTTTAGCAAAATTGGAAGAAAATTACTCAAAATAAATATTTACAAAATGACAAAAAAAACTCAAAAATTAATTTTTAAAGAAAAAAATCCAGATTGCAAACCGCCTGCACATCCACAAACCCTATCCACACAAACCACAAACCGCATTGCGGGTGGTTGCGGTTTGACTTTTCCCCAAACCGCATAAATACAAGCAGGTCAAAACCAAAACGCAAACTGCACAAATCCGATCCGCGAACACTTCTAATGTATGTATATGTATATATGGATTGGGTTTGATATATATATATATATATACAAACCACAAACCGCACTGTGAGTGGTTGCGGTTTGACTTTTCCCCAAACCGCATAAATATAGACAGGTCAAAACCAAAACGCAAACTGCACAAATCCGATCCACGAGCACCCCTAATGTATGTATATGTATATATGGATTGGGTTTGATATATATATATATATGTATATATGTACATATATCAATAAAAATGGGTTTGATATGTATGTATGTATATGTATATACACATGATCGAGAAAAATGGATTTGAATTTGGGAAGTAAACTGGGTTTGATATTATATATATATATATATGTATACATTTTCTACACATGAAAATAGTTTTCTCAATTTGTGATTCTCTAATTCACAAATTCGTCTGGTTTCTATCTATAACTATATATATATATATATTGTGCTATGAAAATAGGTTTGGGTAGTCAAAGATTTATCTTTTACCAATACAAGATGCTTTACCATTCCTATAATATACAATATGCTTCAGAGAGAGAAATGGTGAGCTTTGCAAAACTATGACCTATATCATCTGAGGGTTTGGATTTGATTTGGCCTCATAGTAGTGGTGGCCAAGGATGGATGATGATGGAGTAAGGATAGATCATGGTGTGGGTGCATCAGTTCTATGACGGTACATCAATTCTTCTCTTCTGTTCTTTTCTCTGTTTTGGATTTTTTTTAACCAATAGATTTCAGCCGCTATTTTGGGTATCAAAAACTTGTGAATTTGATTATTAAGGTTTGTTGATTGTTAGCCCCTCGTCATTGTTGTTCTCTCTCTTCTTTCACTCTAATACTGTGAACAATATATATATATATATATAGTCCCGCTGCATATCCCCAGTGGGGGTCGCGCCCCCACTGGCTGAAAACTCAAAAAAAAAAAAAATAATAATAATTTTTTTTTTAGGCCAATCCCGGAGTGACACCTCACTGAGGGTCGACCCCCAGTGGGGGTAGGAAGCATTTTTGATATATATATATATCATATATATTGGTTTAGTTTAAATGAAAAGATATAGATAAAAATATAACAGTCAATTTACTTAACCCAAGTTAGACATGTGCTTTGGTCTAGAAATCATATAGGAATTGTGTGATTATTTTTAAATGTCACAATGATAAATCGCATCCAATCTAAATCACAAAAGATAAAGTAAAGTTTATTCAAAATTTAAATTTGAATTTATATACGGTGCCCAATCTAAAATTGGATTTATGACATAGAGTTGATTTTGTATTTTTGGAGACTTATTTATAAGTCTTTTTTCAGACACTTATGCTAGGTTAAGTCCTATGTAATTTCTTATAGAGTCTCAAGTCCTATTTAGATAAGAATGTATTCCACAAGATCCTACATAAACGTAACGTGACGTGACGTGACACTTATATAAACGTAACGTAACGTAGCACCTACATAAACGTAACGTAACGTATCACGTTACGTTTCGCAAACTTATTAAGTTTTTAGTTTTTTAAATTGAATGTGAAAATGTTGCTGGCTTATGTTGATGTCACGTTACGTTTCATATAAATTGATTTATGGCAACATTTAATTTCCTAGGAAATTGAATGTTGCAATTGAATGTTGCAATAAATCATAGGTGTCACGTTACGTTTATGTAGATATGTCACGTTACATTTATGTAGGTATCACGTTATGTTTATGTAGATATGTCACGTTACGTTTATGTAGATATGATCTATGATCTATGATAACATTTAATTTCTTATATAGGAAATTGAATGTTACCATAAATCATAGGTGTCACGTTACGTTTATGTAGTTGTTACGTTACGTTTACGTATAAGTGTCACGTTACGTTTATATAGGTGTCACGTTACGTTACGTTACGTTTATATAGATATGATCTATAATAACATTCAATTTCTTATATATGATTTTACTATTATTTATGATATTAACAACTAATATTGAGGGTAAATGTGTCAACAAATTTTGTCACAGAATTTATGAAAACATAAATTTTTTAGTAAGACCATATATAGGCGCTGTTTGGAAAGTGGCAAATGAGATATAAGCCAAAAAGTCCACTTTTCATTCTTTTTTATTAAAAGAAAAAAAAATAGGTTCACTGCCGTGACAGTGTAGGCACAGCCTATACTGTGAAAGTGATAAGTTGTTACATCACGTGAGAAATTACGATTTTACCCCTTCTCATCAATTTAAAAAAATATAATTTTAGGGACAAATTTGTCATTTTAACTTCAAACATCATTTTAACACATTTTTCAATACAACAATTCAAATAAAATTCATTTCATTTTTCCAAACACAAAAATTAAAATAACCTACTAAAATAATCAAAAAACCAAATAACCTACCAAAATAACCGCTTCCAAACGAGACCACAGTATAACTCCTAACAGTACGTATAAATAATTTTCCCTGGTTTGTTCCTTTTTCTTATAGCTTACTATTAAATCATTTCTTAAAGTTACCAAACTCGTTCTGGTCGGACGTTGAGATTCAGTCGGGGAAGTCTCCATCTCTCGGGCCGGCGGCCGACGCCGACGCAGTCCAAAGAAACGAGCCTACAGCTCTCTCTCTCTCTCTCTCTCTCTCAGTCCGGCGACACAGGGTCTCTCTGTCTCTCAGTCCACCGATCAGCTCACGGTACCCACTCTCCTCCTCCTCCTCTTCCCCTCTATTTTCTTTTATTATTTTTGTTTTAATCAAAAGATTCAGATTTCGAAAACCCATCTTCTTTTTCTTTTCTTTTTTTATGTAATTTAATTAATTTAACATGATTGGTTAGATTTAGGTTTTAGACTTATAGATTATAGTTATACAATCAATTTACTAATTCTGAACTCTTTTGATTTTTGAGCAATGGATATATTTCTTTTTAAAAAAACATATGGTGGTCATGATTGCTGTGACAGATTTGACAAAGCCAAATCTTTTGCCAAATTGGCACACCATTGGAGGGCATTGGTATTTGTGAGGATATAACTAAAAATGGCTTTGGCTCAAGGATGATTTGGCATACCAATGAAGTTGTTCTATCCTAAATAAAATCTCATTAATATAGTCAAAGAGTGTTTTTGTCTTCTGGGTTGGGTGGCTGGTGTTCTAGGGAGTGTTTTGTTTTTGTTGTTGTGCTCTGTTTAAGTCAGGGGAAACAGGGGACCAACTTCTTTTGCATTAGGGGGCTCTCTTGCTACTTGTATTAAAGCCCATTGCCCATTGCCCATTGCATTGATGCTAGTTTGTGTGTTCGTGCTGTGTAAGCTTTTTGAAAGAAAAAAAAATTCTGGTATATATATTAATACCAAGGAGGCATGGACATACAAGATCCAGATACGATACGATATGGAGACTATCCGACAAAATCAAAAAATATAGGATTTGGGTATGGCTAGGATATGTTGGAAAAAATTTATAATTTTTGGTATTATGAGTACAATCCGTTGTTTATATACAAGTGTAAGCCTCTATCCTCTAACTAATTCTCTGGCAATAGCCAACTCTAATTCAGTTACTAACTGAATCAGTTATAGCTATGTTACAGCACCACTGTATGGTGATGAATGCTGGTGCAGCTGTGCTCGACTCATCAGCTGCTGATGCTGAGATTTAAGCTGAAGCTGTTGCTGCTGATGTAGAGGATTTATATTTTCATCATATTTAAGCTCAAAGAATAGTGAGAAACGATTATTTAGGAATTAGTATTTGTTTAATAGCCTGAAGTCAATATACTTTTCTTCTCTTTTTTCTTTTTCTTTCTTTTTTCCCAATGGGTCTTGTAAAAAATTCCGTTCAATATCAAGTCTAAACTGTTTATATTGCTGTTGTGCTTTTTTTCATTTGCACTTAAAAGTGTTACATGTGAAGGCACTGTATACAAGTTTACTTGCCTATTTAATTGTTGAAATATGATTTTAGTATCACTATATATATTTTATCTGTTCTTACTTTCTACAAAGTAAGGATATGAATATGAGATATATGTGTTGGGGAATCAAGAAGCCCACAAGCGCACAAACAATACTGGCCTAATCCATCGGGGAGAAATCTCTAGAGTCCATATACCTAACACCAAGCCCAACATACATTGTTTGGAACTCATACCTACTTGGAATCTTAAGCCTATAAATGGAGAGCCCATCCTATGTATATTAAGACCCACTCCTTTTATTCTTTATTTGATATGGGACTCTAGCTTCACACATGCTCAAACAATCTCTTCCTCATGTGTGAGCCAAACATCAAGCCTTGCCTTGCTCCCCCTCGAGTTTGATTTATCATCTGCAAGTTCATCATAGATCATACACACTTCTCCTTAATCATGATCTATATAACTCTCTAGCATGGATTCCAACTTGGGTCACCCGCACACACTCCATCATTAGCCACCATACTTCATTGAGAGCCTTGTCGCGGTATAACCTTGCCACATGCACCAAGAATTTTCCTTGCTCCACTAAGAGTCACCATGGATTTTTCTTGCTCTATTGAGAGTCTTCATGCAAGCCCGAGCCCGAGCCCAATATCAATCCTCCAGGAAAGTCCGCCAATAGATTGTTTGCCATTGGCTTTAATACCAGCTGCTTGGGAATTGGGCAGCCCACAAACGTACAACAATACTGGTCAAATTCGTAAGGGAGAACCTCTAGAGTCCATATACCTAACACCAAGACCCAACATACATTTTTTGGAACTCATACCCACTTAACAGCTTAAGCGTGTAATTGGAGAGCCCATCCAATGTGTATTAAGACCCACTCCTTTTATTCTTTATTTGATGCGGAACTCTACCTTCACACATGCTCCAACAATATGCAAGACACATTAAGGATGCACTAATTCAATAAATTATGAAAAGTAAGGTACTAATTTAATCTTGCTAATTTCTTCTCCTAGAAATAAGCAAGTGTTGGAAGATTATTTATGTCTTTATCATAACAGTTACACTCTATTACAATGCAAGAATTATTATGCTCTCAATTTCATAATAGTTCGGATATGTGACTTAATATATGAAAAGTATCTGATACTTCTTGAAATTAAAAAATTTAAAAATTAAAAAATTAATATCAAGTATATGATACGTTTAGAAAGTATTAGATACGTATCTGTGAGTATCTGATATGGGTACAATACGAATATGATGCCCTTCTGGAAGTATTTGTACTTCATAGATTAATACTTGTATTTTCATATAAAGGTTTTTAGGTATATATATTAATACTTATATTTTTATTTATATATAATTTTCAATATATTTATGACGTAACTATGACGTCATGGTATGATACTGGTTAACCCAGCAATTGAACTAATGACTTGTGACCTGGTTTATTTTTCAGTTGCTGAACGGTCCCAATTTTAGAATAACAATAGTATAGTTTAAAAAAAATTAATATCAAGTATATGATATGATACACTTAGGAAGTATCATCTATGAATCCATGAGTATACGAGAAGTATCGGTATCTGTTACGGGTACAATACAAATATGACTCATTTCTAGAAGTATTCGTACTTCATAGATCAATACTTATATTTTTATTAATATATAATTTTCAATATATTTATGACGTAACTATGATGTCACGATTCGATCCCAATTAACCGAAGAATTGAACTATTGACTCGTCACCTTTTTCAATTTCAGTTTGTTGAACGGCCCCAGTTTTAGAATAACAATAGTATAGTATATGGGTTGATGTTTAATGGATTTCAAAAGCAAGGGATTTAGAAACCCAGCCGCACACATTAAACCAAATGGAGTGCAAGTCTCTTAATTGAAACTTCTGCTCAATTGTAGCTCACAATCTAGTATCAAATTGAAAACTACTGCACAAAGCCCTCCTCTCTCTCTTTGCTCTCTCATCTCCGTGGCTGTTTCGCTCAGGTCTCTCGACTACAAACTACAAAGTCTCAAATTCAGAGCACAAAACCGACCCAATAGCGGTATGCAACTCCTCTCTTCTTCTCTACTCCCTTTGTATTTATCTTTATATTATTCCTTTTACCTATACTCATATTATGTATATATGTGTGTGTGTACGTATACATTTATATATTTGGATTGAGGGAAATCAATGTGTTAGAGGGTCTATTCAAAAGTGATGGTTTGTTGATTTCGATGGGTCCCAGGATAGAGCTACTACTTGTGATTTGCATGCAGTAATGAAATGTTAGGTGAGGAGTTAGATACATTATACAAAAAACCATTTAAGATGCCAAATGTTAGCATGCTACAGTGTCCCAAATGCTATGATTTGGCTTTTTTTACTCTAATATGTCAAATTTTGGGCCAATCACCATTCCCTTGTTCTAATTACCATTATTTCATTCACTGTTCTTTAAAGTATCACTATTTCATCTACCTACCATTATTTCAACTATTATTCTTTGATTTCGAATTGCCACATCTTCATCAGTTAGGAGTGAATAATTTTCCATTCTTTATTTTTCTTTGGTGAGAATCTATCATATTTTTTATGTGAATGAAAATGGGAGAAGGGATAAACCATGTTTGTAATTTGCCAAACAATAATGTCAGATGCAACAAAATTAGAACAAAAAAAAGTGTACAGAAAATACATTGTGGTTAAGATTTGTTTTAGTGTGACCTACATCACACTCAAAGATGGATTTCAGCAACAGCATATATTTTTTTATGCAATTTCTATATTCTAATACTGTACAGTACACTAAAATTATTGATTTGTCAAACTATGTTTAAAAGCTAGCCATTGGTCTACGTGGCAAGGTATGTAAATTGTCAAAACACATGCCAAGTATAGCTATAGCCATGGTTTTAGCATGCTCAAATTTTGGCCATTGATATAGCCTTGTGTTGGAGAGTAGCTATATGAGGGACCTACAATGTTTTAGCATCAGCAACTGCTTTAGCATTTCCATGGAGTTGCTAGAGTCTTGTACATTGGTAGCAACTCCAATGGAGCTACTAAAGTAGCTACTATACCTATAATTTGGTAAATCCAATTTTTTCCACCTCTAATGCAGTGCTAAAGTTATTGCCAATGCTATATCTTGTGCCAAATTTGGCACAAGGTTTAGCATTTGTTAGACTTTGCCACATCGGCATCCAACACCCAAAATCAAGAATTGAAAATGCCTACATTCTCGCATTGTTGGGAAGTTCACTGATTGAGAAACACAACTAGTGGCATAAATTTAAACACCATACAAACTAACTTTGCTGATTTTCCACCCAAAAAACAGATTTTGTTTTTTCCTTGTATACATGAAATAAAAATGATACCTTAGAAGAACACATTCAGACCCACAAATTAACCTTAGTAAAACTGTCTAAATTGGACCATATTGATGATAACTACTACTAGATTCCAGATCAGAGTAAACCATCAAATTGTTAATGGAATCAGCCTAATTGAAGTCTTCTTGAACATACCATCAAACCAAAACTTCATTAAAAAAATAAAAAATAAAAATTTATGCATTTGACAACAGAAATCTCATGCATTCCATGAACTATTTCACAAGACTAAAACTTGCATCTTTTGTCATACCGACCAGCATTTGATCAATGATCACCATTTCACTCATGATATTCAAGCCCAGATTGGTATTGGGTTTCTCCACAAGTATTTTGTTGAAATGTATTCACAAATAGAACATAAAATATATAACAAAAGACAACCTATAAGGTGAATTGGGTTTGTGGGTGTGTTTAATCTTGTTTTTAAATCATTTTTGCGCTAATTATTTTTTATTTTGTTTACTTTTTTGAAACGAAAGCTTGTCAATTGGGTCATTTATTTATTTATTTATTCACAAGTTGAATTACATTAAACCAAAAGAAATTTTTCATAAAAAACATTTCATTTCAACTCAATTCCGTTTGTCTTTGTTTAATTGAAGCCTTGCATGTTTTTATAGTTGAGACAATGAATACAATGTCATCAGCCGTTATGGATATAGTCAACACTACATTGGATTGGGTGACATTGGCTTTTGAGGTTCCTTTTGCTCGAGCTTTTGTTTTTGGAGTGCACATTCATGGTAGGCTGTCATATATTTAAACTGATAAATTATTTATGTCCTCTTCATTTTTGAGTGATGATTTGATCTGAAAAGTTAACATTAGTTTTTGGCTTAAGGGCATTTATTTGTGGAGGGCCTTCTTGTAGTGGTTATTCTGTTTCTACTTTCCCAAAAAAGTTACAAGCCCCCTAAACGGCCCCTTACAAAGAAGGTACTATCAATTACGTTATGTCCTGTATGAATTTGTCTTCTTGAATACATTTGTGGTATTTTTGTATTGATTATAACTATTACACATTTTCTTCTCTCTTTATTTCTGTTACATTAATATATATATATATATATATGTTGCATTTGAAGCTATGTATGGATTTTTTACACTTAAGTTAAATGGGAAAGAAGGTATAAACTTGTAGTTTTGAGTTTGAATATTAAAAATTATTGAGGGCCTAGTAGAATTTATAACAACAATTTGCTACCTACCACATACTTTAGTACTAATGGTTGTACGCAGTATCCAAGGCCCTTGCTAACAACACAGTTGGAAAAGTTGGTAGGTGGTTTGACCTCCATTTTTTGGGTGGAGGGGCCGATTCACGTGACTTGAACCTGTGTCACAAGGTTAGGGCTGGGTAGCACTTGTCATCATGCCTGGTCACAATTTCTAACCACAAAATTTAGTACTAATATTTGTTAGTTCAACTGTACATGATTGATATGCCTAGACTCTTCCCTATCCTTCACATTTCAATTGATCACACTTTTTGGGCCAGATAAATCTAGTCAAAATTCTTATTCTTAAGGTATATAGTTAATGCATCTCTTATTCTTTTTGTGGAAGTGGAGAAGCCAAAATCAAGAGCAAAACTGACAAACAGGTGTTCGGTTTTGTCCTAAATAGTATATGCATTTGATTGCATCCCTTCATGCGCTCTATTTTTTCCATGCCATACATTTGACATCATCTTAGCCTAAATCACACTAATGGTCCACAGTTGTGGAAAGATCATAAAAAGAAAAAGAAAATAAAAACAACCACTACCACCACCAAGTAACACACTGTATATGCAGACACAAAATGTAGGACCTGTTATTTCTGACTCAGAATAGAAAGAAAAGTGTCCATTCTCAATTTAGGTGCCTTTGGAAGGCATATGGACTGATCTTCAGCAGTTCAATGTTTATTTTCTTTCACATGCATATGTGATGATAAATTGATAATTGATTACCCATTCACATAGGGTTCTTCCAGCTTGAAAATTGCAGAACTACTTTGCCTCAGAATAGGGAATGTTAATAATGGTGGGTGAGATTGGGGAAAGATGGTTGAATTATCTTCGTAAATTATTGAAAATACATACCCAACTGAAGTTTAGGAGAACTTGTTGACTTGTAAAGGTTGTAAAATTAAGACCTAAGAAGATGTAAGCATGAGTGGTTGTAAAATTAAGACCTAAGAAGCACGGACCCATGTTACCTAGAACGTGGATCATTTTGGTAGGTGGAACAGAAACGGGGATGGGAACGTGGTATGCCACATGCCTTAAAATATGGTACGATAGGGGTAGACTTGAATATATCATACTTGAGAATTTAAGATACTTCTAAAGTAATTTTCTTTTAACTTTTGATTTTTTGTCTTTGTCAAAACTTAAGTCACCTTAGATTTTAATTCATTATATTTGATTATTTTCCTCCTAAGGTAACATTTAAGAAAATATATTGGAAAAAAAATTAGGATCGCTTCGGATTACTGAATTTGCCATTTTGGAACGGAAGTGTATCATGTTTTTGAACGTGCGTACCAATACGTAATTCGCTAGGATATTAACGTTTTCTAGTAACATAGGCACGGACACAAGACATGAGACATGGTGATTTGAAAAAAATGGAGACACAGACAAGGAGGGGACACAACAATAAATTGTATATATATTTTGTTATATAGATTAATATTACATTTATACATAATCAAAATTAACAAAAACTAATACTAATTTAATATATAAACAAAAAAATAACTCATTTTTAAACTCTCTCTTATCATTTATGTCTTATTTATGGGTGATCTATTAATTGCTTAAATTTAAGCGAAAAGTAATAGTCATTCAACATTTAACATCCATCAAAAGTACTAAAGAAGAGTCGTGCCCTCTGAAAACAAATTAGAGCAATGCTAGGGACTTCAAATGAATTATCAAATATTCTACACAATATTCACATGAGTGTGGAACCCACACTACATAAGATCCACATGGGACCCATAGTCATGTGAGTATTGTGTAGAATTTTTGGTAATTCATTTTAGGCCTCTACCATTTTTTATGAAGATCGTGGAAAAAAAGAAAAAAAAAGAGCACATTTGAAATTTTACGTGAAGCACGTTTAGGGCATCAAAAATTGAAGATTTTAAATAATTTTGAGTCTTTATGTCGTTATAGGAGGTTTTAGTGGTTAAGGGTATTATAGTAATTTCAATAATTGTTGGACATGGGTTGCAGGGGTCGTCCATGGGTTTTTATTTTAGGTCAAGGTATTAAATGGGTCATTATTATGTCTAGAAGAGTCTTAGTGGCTAAAAGTTCAAATTTCCTATTTTGAAGTTGAAGTTGGGGTAGAATTAGAAGTCGTTAAAGTTCCTTATGATTGAAGTAAAATTGGAAGTCATAGCTTTAGTTGGTCTAGAATATTAGTAGTTGCCAAATGTTATGAGTTTCCAAATTTGAGTTATAGTTCTTATAGAAGTAGGAGAGTATTTGCCTATAAATATATACGTAATCTCAATGGTTCAATAGAATAGCTGATGTTATTAGAATTTGAGATTGTGTTTGTGTGTGATTGGCCTATCCCTTGCGATGGTGAAGCACCTCTTCTCTCTCTCTATTCTTATTCTCTTTCTTATTCTTTGTGCACATGCCCAAGTTGTTATTCGCAGGTTACTATTCACGGCCCACTAAAAATGCACTTCTCTGTTCTGGAAAACAAGCAAGCTGTCCTACATCAATTTTTTAACAAATTAATTAAATAAAGAGACACACCACATGGCCTGTCACCGCTATGTTTTTTGAAGTGTTAGTGCTTCATAGACTAAGACCAAATGGAGTTTCTATTAAAATTCAGAACAGTTTAGGTGATGGCAGATGGATGCCTGATGAAGGACAAAGGTCTTATTTAAGCACCAAGTATCATGCTTTTAAGCTTATGAATTGCTATTAAACTTAGGAGTTATAAAACCTCTAAGAACCTAAGGACATAGCCTAAATAATAGAGCTAGATAAGCCAGAGGGCCCAAACAACTGTTATGGACACTCTTAGGCAATAATGCTTCATGACTGAAATTGGATCCACAACCCTTACGGGTCCATCTTCCTCGGTGGGCTATGTCCACTGCAGCCTCACAATAGAGAACTTAAGTACAATTTTGTTGCTGTCGGATAGCTTAAAATATACATTTTTGTCCCATTTCCTAATAGCTTAAGCTTTTGGGTGGGTACGAGTTTGTTCTCTCATTCTGTTTGTGCACTCTGTTTTGTGTGCTTGTACTTTGTGCACCCTATTTAGTGCGAGAAGCGGTCGTACATGAGGCAGAGTGTTGTGGAATTATGGTATGTGGTAAAATGTTGTGTGCAGAAGGTGTTGCAAGCTTGTTACCCAGTTTTTGTATCCCTTATTTTTTCTGTTGGTATTAAATCAATTGTTGAATTTATTTAAATAGCCTCAACATTTCTTTTATCATCAGTTTTCTTGTAGGCATAACCTTTGCATCTGGCAAATGTCCAGTTATATCCGGTCTAATTTTGCTTGTTAGTTCTCAGCTTTGGACAGTTATGAATCTTTTATGTGCCTTTCTTTCAATATACTAACTCTTGTACCATCAATTAACAATTTGGCAACCTAACATTTTTCAATTGTTTGCTTGGTATTTCTAGGAAATAGATGAGCTATGTGATGAGTGGGTTCCAGAATCTCTTATACCTCCACTTACAGAAGAGATGCGATATGAGCCTCCCGTATTGGAAAGGTGAAATTAGTTTTGGTTTGTCTTTATTTTATTATTTCTTTAATCTCTGAATTCTCTCGAACTGTTCTCGAAGTTATGCTTGTTAAACGTTCTGTTTTCTAATTTTAAGTTCATATGTAAACCAAAATTGGCTCTTGTGGACTGAGCTATGAAGCATGGACACGGCAAAATCGGCGCCGTGGCGGTGTCGGACACGGGGACACGTGTCCCTTTAATTTAACTATTTTTTTTGTATGGGACATGCCGGGGACACGCGTGTCCAGATCTGAACACGGCATGAGTCACGGCGAGGAGAGAGAGAGAGAGATAGAGGAGAGAGAGTGTGAAGGAAGAGAGTGAAAAGACAAATCTTCGACTCCAGTCGTCGAACATCCAGTTGACTCGAACCATCGAACCATTGATCTTGTCTCGCTCGCATCAAACCAACGAACCATGTCTCGCTCGCATCGTCTTCTCTTTCTCTCTCGCTCGCGTTTCTGTCTCTTTCTCTCGCTGTCTCTGTCCGCTTTCTTTCTTATCTCTTATATGTATATATATAAGTATATATAACATAATATATATACTACTTATACATATTAATAAACAAAACACATGTATATAAAATAAATAAAATAAAAAATTACTAAAAACACATTATTTAAAAAAGGAAATAAATAAATAAACTAATTAACGTATATTAAAATAAAAATATTTATTAAAAAAAAAAATTTGCCGTGTCCCCTGCCCTGTCTGTGTTTCCATTTTTTGGAAATTGCCGTGTCCCGTGTCCGTGTCCGTATCCGTGTCTATGTCCGTGCTTGATAGGCACTGAGTGCACGCCCACACTTTAATGTGAATGTGTTTCTTGCTTGATATTACACTTTTTTTTTTCATGCTCTATCGAACTCTTGCATAATTTATTCGCAAGAACTATCATACATTGACTTGAGTATTTCCTGTCTTTTCCTTTTTTAGTTTTTTTTTCCCCCATTTAGGTTGGTTAGCCACTTCCATGTAGGTGTTAAATATTTTGGATATTGGCAATATCTTTACTACGTCTATGCTTTAAGATCTAATTTTTTTTAAGTCACTAAAATGCTGGGTTTTTATTAATTTTCTTATCTCAACTATTGAAATTCTTCATTATTAGCAAAGAGATTTACGATTATAGAAAATACATTCTTGCTCATGAGTTTCATGTTACACAGTGCTGCCGGGCCACATACAATAATCAACGGCAAAGAAGTTGTGAACTTTGCTTCAGCAAATTACCTAAAAAATAAAAAATAAAAACTTGTTAAAAAAAAATATTGTATTTAATAAAAATTTAAAATACTTGTTGAGTTTGAATTATTATTGTACATAGTAATTATTTACCTAAAGAAAATTATTTCGTTATAATATCAATATCATTATGCATACAGTGTCGACAAACAATGTGACCATAATGATATTCAACTTTTTGGTAGCAACTTTAGTACAAATCAACCCGAAGGTTGTCAACATCAATTTGTTCGATGTACCCAAGTACTCGAAAATATGAGATCTACAAAATATTTGAAAAAACATTAATTAATGTCTCTCTATAAACGAATATATATACATATCGTTTAACTTTCATTACTTGGGATGATAACAATTCGTACATTTGATTGTTCATTTTTGCTGTAATATTCTCAAAAAGTAAAAATAACAAGAAGTTTACAAAGATAAAAGAAGAGGAAGTGGAGCAAAAGATGGAACGTCAACAAGGTAGGTGGAATCCGGTATTCCGTCGACGACAAGGTAGAAATGGGGCGGCAGCACAACTTCACACGATCTTTGTTGATGAGATCCCACACTCGATGAATCCTAAAGGTTTGTACACCATGTTTTCCAACTTTGGAGTGGTCAAGGATGTCTACATCCCAAAGAAACGCAAAAAAGCAACGAAAACCAGATTTGGATTCGTACGATACGACTGTCCTGTTGCAGCGGAGATTGCAATTCAGAAAGCCAATGGAGTGTGGTGCGGCGATAAATCTGTGAAGGTGAAAAAAGTAGATTTTGGAAAAGAAAAGGGTCTGATTAATCCAAGACCAGGGGCATATAAACCAGATAGAGTCTCAAGATTGTCTGGCGTTGGGATTGGAGGGAGAAGTTCTTATGCGGATGTTCTGAAAAGAGGGAGGTCCGGTAGTGATAATCACATCAGAATTCAAGCGGAGGAATATGCCATTAGTTGGTTACTACTTAGCACAATAATCAAACTTAAACCGCATTGCAACTTTGATGGTTTCAAGATTAAATGTCGTAACAGAGGATGGAAGGACATACAACTTAGAAAATGAGGAGGCCGAAATGCATTTATCACTTTTAACTCCAAAGAAGCAATGAAGCAATCACTGAACAGTTTTGGAGGTTGGTTATCGGAGTGGTGTGAATCAATCTTTGAGTGGAACAAAGGTGTGAAGTTAGAAAATGAAAGACTGGTTTGGTTAAGTTGTTTTGGAATGCCTTCCAATCTATGGAATGTCAATAACTTCAGGAAAATTGGTGAAGCGTGTGGTGTAGTCGTGGAGCTTAATGATAATGTATCAAGTATGAATTCTCTGAAGTATGGGAAAGTCAGAATATGTACATCCCATCTGGAACATATTGATAAATTGGTTATTCTGGAAAAAGATGGTACATCCTACCCTGTTCGTGTAGTTGAAGCAAGGGATTTGTTAACAACATCCATGGATGAGGGTGACCATTGCTCTACAACTCATCATGCAAGCAGGAGTGAAGGTGATGACGTGGGAAACATTGGGGCTGACGTGGAGAGAAGCCTCTACATGGCACACAATAAGAAGTCTAAGGAGGCGGTGGTAGGAGCAGGACACAAGCGCACGTATACTTCAGACTCTGTATCGATGGTTAACGAGACAGGCGTGGAGATAGGAATTCACAACCATGATGTTGTCCACCCAGCACCCAATGTCAGTTTGCAGGCACCGTTAGAAAAGGAGGTTGACAGGGGTGAAAGACGAGGAGGTGGGATGCTGGAGACACCTACTGGGCCTCATGGGCTTATAAGAAGTTTAAGTCCAGGAGATCTCAATAGGCCTGATATATCTTTGGAAGTTGTATTGACTAAAGCCCAATTTGATAGGAATCGTCTGAGGCCTAATAAGGCAAAGATCAATTCTGTTAAGGAGGCTAACCCAATAAAAGAAGGTGAGGCTTCTGATAACATCGATGATGAATCCAGCCCAAGTGACGAAGAAGAAGAAGTACATCAACCTGGTGCTTCTATTTGGGATAGTAAAGCAGAGGCCCAGCTTAATGAAAATAGGGTGTTTGGAAAATTCTGGAAAGGAAAGGGACAAAAAGGAATACCATTTAGGAGTGGGTTCCAACGAGGTGCCCTTGTTCGAGCAGCTGCAATGGCATCTTCATCATCTTTATCGATCACCAATGCCTTACGAAAACAAAACAGAATCAGACAGGAAGTAGAAGCTACGGTGTAGTTGGGAAAGACTTTGGGTCTGGAAATGAATGGGAATGAAGCAGAAGTTGTGGAGCGAGCAATCCAGATAGAAATTGAAGATATGGAGAGAAGGAAAGCAAAAAGGGTGGCGCCAGGTGCTTAATCAGCACTTGGTATGAGGCTTTAGTGTATATTTATATCTCTATGAAGATTTTGTCCTGGAACGTTAGAGGTTTGGGAAGGGTTGACAGAAGGCGAAGAGTAAAGGAATTTCTGAGGCTGAAAAATGCGGATATGGTTCTGCTGCAAGAAACAAAAAGATCAAACATTGATGGTAGTGTTGTAAGATCTCTGTGGCCTAGTGATTCGGTGGAATATATGGAAGTGGATACGGAGGGAAGTGCAGGAGGAATTCTGTGCATCTGGAATCCCATGACTTTCTCACTTCAGGAGTGTTGCTGCTCAAGAAATTTCATCCTTTTGGCAGGTATCATGCATTCTTGTATTAACTGTGTAATTGGTAACATATATGCTCCTAATGAAGATTTGAATAGGAGGAGGTTATGGGGCATCCTATCTAATTTGAAAACTGTCTTCCCTGATCCTTGGTGTTTAGGGGGAGATTTTAATGAAGTTAAAAATATTTGTCAAAGAAAAGGGTGTATAAGGAGGGATAGAGGCATGGAGGAATTTGGTACCTTCATTAGCAATCTTGAATTGGTGGATTTCCCAATGTTAGGCAGGCAATATAATTGGGGCAATTCTCAAAGTTGTAGCAGAATTGACAGGTTCTTAGTTAACCCTGAGTGGCTGGAATGGTACAGATACAAGGTATGGGTGTTACCAAGACTTTTTTCTGACCATAGCCTCGTTTTGCTGATGGAAGATGATAGGAACTGGGGCCCAAAGCCTTTCAAGTTTATCAATGTTTGGGTTTTACACCCTAAGTTCCTTCTTAAAGCAAATAAAGTTTGGGATTCAACTTATGTACAAGGCTGGGCTAGTTATATAATTATGGAGAAGCTGAGGGTTTTAAAAGTAGCTCTGAAAAGTGGAACACGGAAGTGTTTGGTGATGTAGAGGCAAAGTTGAAAGAAGCTGAAAGTGAGTTACATTCTATGGATTTACAATCCGAATTGAGGGTGCTGACTGAGGTGGAAGAGGGCCGAAGAAAGGAGATAAGGGGTTTGATTTGAAAGCTTAGCAAGAGAAGTGAATGGATGTGGGTGCAAAAATCGAGGATAGACTGGGCATTGAAAGGAGATAGAAATACTCGATTCTTTCATATTATGGCCACCAAGAAACACAACAGAAACCTGATTGCCTCTGTTTTAGATAATGGGGTTGAGGTGGATGAACCTTCAGAGGTCAAACAAACAGCTTGCTCTCACTTCCAAAATCTGTTTTCTGAACACTAGAGGAGTAGGCCAAGTATTGGAGGTGATTTTAAGAAGATTGATGCTAACCAAATAGGCACTATTCTGGAGAGAGAATTTACAGAGGAAGAAGTTTGGTCTGCAATAAAAGAGTGTGACGGAAACAAAGCCCCAGGCTCAGATGGGTTTAACATGTTATTTTTTCAAAAAAGGTGGAAGTTCTTGAAAGGTGACATTTATGAAGTTTATGAAGGAGTTTTTCAGCAATTGTAAATTAGGGTATGGGGTAAATTGTTCTTTTGTTGCTCTTATCCCCAAAAAGGAGAATCCAACCTCTTTTCTTGATTACAGACCTATCAGTCTGATAAATTCCCCATATAAAGTGATGTCCAAAGTTTTGGCTAATCGAATGAAACAAGTCCTGCCCGCTGTGATTGATAAGGCTCAATTTTCTTTTGTAGGGGGAAGAAACATTATAGATGGGGTGCTTATAGCCAATGAGGTGGTGGATTGGTGGAAAACATCAAAGAAGAAGGGTATTATTCTCAAACTGGACTTTCAAAAAGCATATGATACTGTTAATTGGATATGTTTACTGCAGATGTTAGCTAAATTTGGTTTTGGTTCACGTTGGATTCGATAGATGAAGAAATGTGTAGAATCTGCTAGAATTTTCATCTTAGTAAATGGCTCACCTACAACTGAATTCCGTCCGCAAAAAGGGTTAAGACAGGGAGATCCCCTTTCCCCTTTCTTGTTCAATGTTGTTGCTGAAGGATTGAATCTCTTGTTGAAAAGAGCTAGGGAATTGAGAATTATAAAAGGGGTGGAAGTAGGTTCTAGTGAGGTCAACATGTCCCATCTTCAGTTCGCGGATGACACTATCATATTTTGCGAGGCTGAGTGGGCTGAAATTATGGCTATCAAACGAATTTTAAGATGCTTTGAAATGGTCTCGGGTTTGAAGATAAATTTTCATAAAAGTATGATCTGTGGGGTGGGAGTTGATCATGGGCTAGTTGAGGAGTTTGCAGAAATACTTAATTGCCAGAGTCATAAATTACCTTTAAAGTATCTAGGGTTGCCTCTTGGAGCCAACCCATGTCGTAAGCAAACATGGCAGCCAGTAGTGGATAGGTATAAAAAGAAATTATCGGGGTGGAAGCGAAGGATGCTATCCTACGCTGGCAGGGTCACCCTCATCAAATCTATTTTATCTTCCCTACCTGTTTATTATATGTCTTTGTTCAAGATACCTGTGTGTGTGGCTAAGGAACTAGATAGGATTCAAGCAAGGTTTTTGTGGGGAAGGGATGAGCTTAAAAGGAAAATTCATTTGGTAAAATGGAAAAGGGTGCAGTTGAATAAGAAGTAAGGAGGTCTGGGTATCAGAGATATCAAATTAACAAATGATTGTTTGATTCTTAAGTGGTGGTGGAGATATGCATTTGAAGATGAAA